GGGAAGAAAAGACGGAATACTGAAATAGAACCAGTATTTTATGAAATTAATACCATCAAATAGCCTCCAAATACAATTCGAATACAAGGTCATAGCTGCCTACATACCTGACAGTAATTTGCTCAAGAGCTTCAACAAGTGTAGGAGAAAGACCAGCAGAAAACATAACATCAAGAAGACCACGAACATGGGACTCCATTGCTGGTCCCATAGCTTTTGCAATGTTTCCAACACAGGCCAAAGCTTCGAGAGAGGGTCTACCTCTGCGTGGAGCAATCTGCAAATAGGTAATACGTAAGCAAATAGTTAGCCACATTCTTTCTTATCAAAATAAAAGAACCAAAATGCATATTAAACACACACACACAAGATGCAACCAAAAGATAAGTCGTGAATAACGAATCATATGGGACTCACTGCATCACGTAAGAGAGAAGTAATTGTCGGCAAATAGTGGACAAGCTCTCCGTCCAAAGCACCAGCCATCTCCCCAAGGGCAATAAACCCACTAGCACGTTCAGCTGGGATTCTTAAAACTGTAAGGATATGTTTCATGCATATCTGCAAGATATCAAAAAAAACCAAATGCAGATAATTGAAAGGGATCTGCAGCTAGTTATAATAATGTGATTGAATGAGGAGCAATAACAACTAACCGTCAAGTAGTTTGTTACAAATCTGTCACGCAGGAAATGTGCAATGCGAGGTAGCAATGAAGTTATGCTAAGGCGCACAAGCCTATCACGATGTTCTAGGTATCTAAGAACAATTTCAGCAACTTCTCTGTACCTTGACATCATGAATTCACCGGTGTTCCTGATAGGATAAAGTTTATCCACAACAAAAACTAGCATCAGTCATAAAACAGAAAGGTAAATATAGGACGCTTGGCTAGACTATTTAATACTAATGACATAAACGGAATAATCATTCCAATGTTCCACTAACAACTCATTTACAATTAAATATCATTTCATATGAGAATAAAATATTCTCTATATGAAAAAGATAATCTTCTTCTCCTTGAGGATGAGCATACTACAAATTGACAACACTACAGATACACACACATAAATACACCTATAAACTAATCACAAGCTATATATACAGCAGTTAATCAGTACTAGGTGAAAAGCCATCCAGCACATGCATAAGTATTTATAACAGTATTTATTTTTCAAAACAAAGACATTTGCACAAACACACTATATATAGAAATTTATTTTTCTATTTCTTTCTCCTTTTATTTTAATGAGGAGTGGAAATGGTCAAGTGGGGGAAACCAATAGACTCCAAGCTAGAAACCAAAAATTACAGGACCTAAAGTCCTTTTCTATTTACAAATAGAAAATAAGACCATCATACCAACCTCAAAAGCTCTCCAACGGCAAGCAAAGAACCATGTATACTGTGAATAGGAGCATTATTTCCCAATCCATCTTGCGTAGCTTCAAACATTCGATAATACCTGTGGAAACACAAACAGTTGAACATGGGGGAAATGATAAATAAAGTTCAGAAGTAAAAAAATGAGCAGACAATATTAGCCCCCTATAAAGCACTACTATTGCAAGGCAAGCTATAATTCCCCTACTCTTCAGTTTATTTGCAATTAAGATAACACAGTCAGATCAACAGTAGGAAAAGGGGAAATTTGGAACAAAATAAGAATATACAAAAATCAAGTAGCAGCAACAGCAAATAGGAACTCAACTCAGACACCAAAACCTAAGAAGCCATGAAATATTTCTACATTTATTAATTTAAAAGGAAAGAAAATAGTAAGCTAGGTTTGCTAATGTCGCTATTTAAGTTCAAATTTATGAAAAGAAAAAGGAATGAGATATCAAAACTTGAAAATCAATAAACTAACCACTGCACACGCCAACGTGTCTCACGCTTTTCAATGACACGAAGACATGCACGTAATGCTTCCACAGCACGCTCACGAACAGCCAATGTTGGATCTCTCAATGCAACCCAAATAGCATCAACAAATTCAGGTACATGAACATTGAAGACGGTGGAGGCATTTTCTGCCATTTCCTATAGTAATGAAAATGCAAAGCTAGCTTCAATAGAATATTCTTTTCCAACAAAAATAAACTAAAATTAATTTAAACAATTTGCAGCATACCCTGCTATATGATCAAAATATAACATTTTTTCAATAAACTAATTCTTAACAACAATAAAAATCTCACATGAGACGCACCTTCAAAATTAAGACAGCGGCAAAACGGCGGTACTCTATTCTATCCCCGCGGAGCCACTCCAGGGCAGTTCTGACCTGAGAAACAAATGCATATACTTTATACTATTCCCGTAGGCTAATGAAGCAATGATTACACTATGAAAAGAAAGGGGGGGGGGAAGCAATGTCCTCAACAAACCTGAAACTCCACTTCATCTGCAGTCATCGCACCACCAGCTCTTGCTAGATGACCAAGAACTTTACTAGCAAGGACTAGTATTTCAGGGTCGCGCTTAATCTCAAAAACTGTCCGCATATAATTAGAAAACCTGGAAACTTTGGAGGCATTCTCTCCAAGTGCCACATCTATCAACTCGTCAATGGCTCTTAAAGCTCCCATATTTTGTGCAACATCGTTACTTTCCAGGAGGTTCGAAATTCGATCATATAACTGATCCATAAAACGAGAAAATGCTTCCCCGCTAAGATCACGAGCTTCTTCTTCCACATGCTTCTTCAATGCTAATGAAGTTCCCTCCTGCTAACGATAAATCAAAGCCAAAATTTAAATTCCCTACAACTGAAGGATAATCGATTGAACTGTTAAGGTAATCTTATTCTTCAGCTAAAAAGCCATAGTTTCAGCTACGAATCAAGGAAATGCGATTTCAAAATTGTGTCCACTTTCTACAACAACCAAGCCAACGAGAGAGAAAAATAAAGGACCTGAAATGGGAAACATCACCTTAGAATTGCCACGGGTGCAGAGGTCGGCTAGAATACGATTGAGAGCTTCAAAGCTTCCGCCGGCGGGGCCAGAGGCGGCGGGTCCACATAAGCGGAGGCTCTGCAAAGTAACCGCCATGAACACACCAACCCTGACCACTAACAGCTGAAAATCCAACCCTAAAAACGTGAAAATCAGTGGTTTACAGCATCAAAAATGTGCCTCAGATCTTCGGTTTCAAGGCATCGAACCCAACGAAGACACTCGAATAAAAAAGTGAAGAAGAACAATCGCAGTGGAGAGAAATTTGAAGAATAATCGCAGTGACGTTAAATTTACGCGTGGAGAGTGTGCGCCACCAATAAACGAAGCTCTTTCTTTTTCACTTAACAATATGGAACACACGGCATTTGACGGCAAGGCAATTTTGGTGTTGTTGTCCACCCTAGGGACTAGGGATTAATCTCGCATCCTATGAGTTTGGTTCTGATTTAATTTTATTTTTAATATTTTAGCTCGATTTTAGTTTAAATATTAAATTGTCTAAATTAATTTGATTAGTTATATTTTTTCTAACAAGAATATCACGATGATGATTTTAATTTAATTCCAAAATTGAATTGAATTTTTAAATCATTTAAAGAAATATTGATTTTTTTAATTTTAAATGAGGTAAAATAAATTTAGTTAAATTCAAAAAAATTGTAAATAAATGTATATAATTTGATTTAATGGTTAAATATTTGTTTTAATTCTTCTGTGTTACGGTTTTAAGATCCTTAAAATTTATTTTCTTAATTTTATACCCCTTAAAACCATGTATAAATCATAATCTAACGATTCATTTAATAAAAAAATAATTATATAAATTTTATTTAAAATTTAGTTTACGACATGTCATTATATCATGTCAACACTGTTGTGTGACATTATTATATCAACATGCTATTTCATGCAAATTTATCATTTAATTTTAATACATTGACCATTGGTTGACTAATGATAAACATATGTGGTGAGTTAAGTTGCAGACTTTACATTTCCTCCTCTACAAGTTTTATCAAATTAATTGTATGATTCAATAACTAGTTGGTGAGTGATCGAATCATTTCTTTTCTTTTCTTTTAATTTTGTAATCTATTAATAAATTCATTCATAAAATATATTTAATGGTTTAGATTTTGATTTTTTAAAAAAAATTTAAGTTAGAAATTTATTTATTTAAATTGGCTTGTGAATAAACCTAATTAGTAATAGTAGATTTAGTGAAACAATCATAGTCTAAAATAATAATATAATATTAAATTTTGGTCATTTAATTTATTTTGTGATTTAATGATTTATGAATATATTTTTAAGACCAAACGAAAGAGACTACGTGAGGCGGGTGGCTCGGAACAACAAAGGATAATGGTTATGGGAATTTGCTAAAAGAATAGGTTGCTGCTCTATTCCGGAAGCAGAACTGTGTAGTATCCTCGAGGGTCTTTGAGTTGCATGGAATGCAGGGACAAAATGAATAATTTTGGAAGTCGGCACCACCGAGCTGTGAAGCAGAACTAGTGAAGGTCACTTTTATCCCAAGAGATGCGAATAAAGTAGCGGACATTATGGCCAAGCAAGCATGGGCAGTTCAGAACGAATCACAGGAGTTTTCCCAACTTCCGGAAGCGGTTATTGGAAGGATTGAAACGGAGAAGCTTATCAACAGCTATAGAGAGATTATTCACAATTCAAGTCATAAATAAATAAAATTAAAATTAAGTCAATAAATCGCACTTTATATATGTTATTGTCCAATTCAACCCAAGAACAAACATAAATTGTGTTTATTATGATCCAATTATATATTAAATAATCCAAAGTTTATACAAGACTAGTAAAAATATTGAAAATTTTCCACTAACATTGTATGATATTTATTAAGAGAAAAACTATTTAAAAGGAATTTGATCAAGTCCGTTTAGAGCAAATTGAAGGGATGATCTCAACCGTTGATAATAAACAAAGATGACTTTTACCCTCTTACGTATAAAACTTGTTCTTTCGTGCCACCCGACTAGGGTTATTTCCCCCTGCTTCTCCTTCCTTCTACTTTCTCTATGCCTTACATGGATACTGAAAATTAGGGTTCTTCTCGATCGTCAAGCCCTGAATCTTACACTGATTCTTCTATTATCCAGTGCGTATTGTCTTCACTCTAAGAGTTTCTTTATTGAAATTGAAAACAAAATTTGTTATCGTTTTTCTTCTGATTTTTCCTTTTATTTGTATCATTCTCTGAAAAGAGAAGAGGAAGAACACGAACTTTTTGATTGATTTATGTATGTTTCTTAAGGGAGAACAAAAGGTCCTTCAACATTTGCAATGCTTCAAACATAAACTTTTACTTACAATTGTTGTTCCTGATTCAAAAGAAAAAGTAGTCAGATGCATCAGCACGTAAAATGTATCATGATTTTTTTCATGGGATTCTCAAACAATGAAGAATCTTTTTATCTATTTGACACTTTTCTTGTCTTTTTTATTGGAATTGTACTATTTTTATTGGTACTTTCCGTAACTTTTCAAATTTTCTTTTAGTTTGCTGAAATTTGATTAAAAAAATTGTGATCTATTAGATTGGAAGTTAGGAGCTCAGCTGAAATGGAGATAGAAGAAAGAGATACATTTGCTAAGCCAAAACCTTCAAAACGGTAGAGTTCAAACAGTGAAGTAAAGAGACTAACTAAGGTTAAAATTGTTGGGAGTTATGGTTATAAATCATCTTGCGCAAGTGGGAAAGAAGGTATAAGTTGCAAAATGTATACCCATGACCCTTCAACAAGGTATTATTATCATCACAATCATTTATTTTTAATGTTTTTTCTATTATTGTTCCTTCCTATTCCTTTTGTGCGGATGGGATAGAGTCGTTGAGAGGTGTGGTTTACCAAAATTCTCTTTTTCTGCACTGCTGATTATGATGATAAGGCCTCATCAGACAAAAGCAACGATTCTGACCAAGTATGTGACTTTAAGCTGTGTATATCTTCATATATGCAAGTAACTATGTTGCTCAGACTCTTCATGTTTTCTTTTTTATGATTTGACATTCGCATTGCACTTGGTTAATGAAACAATAAATGAGTCAAGCTTGTGAGACTTGTGAAATGTGTGGTTTTTCTAATACAGTCAAAGCTGCTGCTTTTTTCAGGGTCTTTTAGCACCGAAGAACCTAATATTGAAACAGAAAAGTGGAGATGGCCGTAAGTTTTTATTTTTGAATCTCTTGGGATTTCCCCATCATTATCATCCATCCGTTGCAGTGGATGGCGTTTCCTTTCAGTTTCTATTGCACATCTCTCATCCTTTTTACCTATTTGTTTGTTGATGATATTTGTTGCTTATCCAGATTAAATGGAGGAAGATTCTGCAGCAGACATGTTTAACACAGCATCTAGAACTACAGAGGTTAGTGTATGCATCAGATACCATGCCTGGCCGAATCTTTTAGCTTTATCATAACCATATACGACACATATTCGGATATAGGTGTAGGATAGAAATAGAAAATTTCAAGGACCCTCCAAATATGTGAAAGTATCGGATACATACTTGTATGACTGTATTTGATGCATAAACCAAGTTTGAGTAACATACTTGGGAGATATTATATCTAGAATTGGCTTGTCTTGGTATGTCTTTTTTAATATGGCATTTGATTTTGTTCTGACTCACATTTCTTAACAGGATGATTCTGAACTCAGAAAGCAACAGAGGAGGCAAATAAATCGCGAATCAGCTAAAAGGTCAAGGTATCGCGAGAAAATATCCATGTTGGTATGTATGCTAGTCCGCATGAGTTTCATAGAGATCTCCCGTGATTTTCATTTAAATCTTGCCTTTCCTGCTCACATTTTCCTTTGATGTTTCCTTCTATGTTACTTGAACTCAGTGTGAGTATGGTAAGAGTATGTCCGACACTTAATTTTGAAAAATATTCTTTCATGTTCTTTGAGGGCTTTTAACCATGATCATGTTTTCATACTCAATGTTTAGATATGAATTGAAGACACGTGTTGAGCATGAATAGAGTCCCAACATTGCTTCAACTCTTTATTTTTCTTATAATATTGTTTCCACTGCCTACGTTTGATACATATTCGTACGTGTATATGAGGATATGATTCTTCAAGAACCCTCTAAATACCTGAAAAAAGTTTTTTTTAAGAATTTGAAGATATATATCAGTATCCAATACACACCTAAATCCGATAGCCATATAGTACTTGTACGTAATTAGAGTCTGTGGCTCATGTAGCATTTGATCTGGAAGTTGTTGATAATGTGCTAATGCCAGGCTTTCTTGTTTTTCCAGCAAGAACGTGAAAAACTAGAAGCAAAAATATAGGCACTGAAAGCTGATAGCCATGAACATTGCAAGCAACTCAGGAATCTTTCCGATAAATGTGTTCGAATTGGTGACGAGAACCAACAAATCAAGATACACAACTTTCTCCTTCTTCTAACGAACCCCATTTCTTTGTTTCCATTAAATGTATGATGAAAAAAACATTTGACATGGAAGAACCATGGCCTCAACTTTGTGAAATGATGAAGCATGATGAACTCATCCGGATGTACGGACCAGGTATTATCAACGACCTTAAAGATTCATCCCCTCAACTTTTTTATCATGAAAGTCAAGCAACGCAGAAATGAGTCCAAGCAAAAGAAACTCAAAAGCTTATTATTACGGGTTTTACTCAGACGATTCAAGTTCAACCTCTATGTTGAAAGGAAAGCAACCTCTTAACTAGTGTTTATGATCAAATCATGGTTCGGTTTGATTTTTTTCTTTATTACTTTAGTTTAGATTTAGATATATTTTGATTATTATTTTAATCTTGTTTTTGTAATAATGATTTATTTTTTTAATATAAATAAAATATTAAAAATTTTATTTAAACTATACTTATGTCGTATTTTGAAAACTAATTTTATTATTTGAAATAAAAATATTGTCTTAATATTAATATATCTTTATAATTTAGTTGGAAATAAAATAATAAGTGAAAATGATAAAATACAATATTTAGGTAGATATGGAGGGGAAAGCGACAATTGTTTGAGTAAACAATTCAAAGATAACTTATGGCAGGGATATTATTGCAGTGTATGCAAATTTCAATGGCACGTGCGTCGGACTTAGCTATAGGAATGAAATTTCACTACTCCAAGTATGCGACTTTTTGGACATTATACCTATTAAATAAAATAAAAATATTTAATTTAATTTCTTAAAACTGATTAATTTAAGTACAAATAAGTGTAATTTCAAAGGAAAGCATCTCATTCAACATCGATGTATAAATACAACAGGCGAGGCCCATATTTTGACAGGTTGGATGTGTTTGTTGAACATAGCAATCCATCATTGACTTGTAGAGTTTAAAATAATATATTCAATTACATTTTAATTAATTTATTATAGCCTATATAATTATTATTGTATTTTCAGAAATGTTTTTTATTATGATTTTATTATAGTATATGTTTTCTTAATTTCAATAAATTCATCTCAATAATGTTCTTTGAATTTGAATCATCTAAAGAAAATTTATCATTTTATACGATTTAAGCATTGTATTATATGATGAATTTTTCGAATTAATTTCTATTTTGAAAGTAAATTATAAATTTTAAAAGATTAAAATATGATTTTATTATTATTTTAAACTATAAATACATAATTTTAAAAAATTAAATTGAATTTGAATTACAAGCGATTAATTTTTAAGAGCAATTTATGTTTTTAAAAGCCAAGTGTGTAAATAATAATGGTAATATAATTTATTTAATTAGTGTATCATGCCAAAATTTTAAAAGTCAATAATAATATAATTTGGCCATAAATAATAATTTTAGATATACTAATTCCATTTTATGACTGAAATGCAACCATATTTATATTTTAATACTATTTATCTAAAACAGATAATTTTTTAAACAATATAGCATGATTATTTAAAAAACAATATGTATTTAAAATACCTTCTTCAACTTCAAATCCATAGCTTATAAGTTTAAATTCTATAATAATTCTATAATTATTTACTCATTTAAGTTTTGGTTAATTATAAATATACTTTTAATATATTCTTTAAACAATAATCTTTCCCTTATTTACTATAAGAAGATTAAGAATGATTGGTGGTGCTAATTTATGGTATAATCCAATTATCAAATTAGCCAATTATTAAGTGCTTTAAAATAAAACAGCACTTTATGATACAATCTTTCAATACAAGTCATCAGATGCAATCTAATAAATCCAATTCATTTTATTTATTTTTTTAATTTAAAAATAATATTAATTCATTATTATTTGCATTGTATAAATCTCCATTGAAATAATATTAATTTCAATTAATAACTAACTTGATCATAATCAAATTAATTGTATTTTCTCTTGATAACTTAAACTTAAATCAAATAACTTTAATTATTAATTTAATGTGATTTAACTCCAAGAACTTTAATCTCTCAATTAGTATAATTGTAAACGTATCTTTTTCATTTATTTTAGTGTGATTTTTTTACTCAAAAAATTGGATCGAATTTTAGATTAAATAGGACATTCATAAATCCTGATCAAATAAAATAACAGATAAAAAATATAATTTGGATCGAATTAAATAATAAAAAAAATTAACCCTGAAACCAAATTTGAATGGATCAAAGCTCATCTTGAATCATATATATTTGTGATATGAAATTATATACTAGCAAATATTATTACTCAAATTATGGAAATAAATAAATAAATAAATTGAAGATGACGGAGAGTGTGGAGTGTTCGTAGAGCAGTCCACGTTAATGTTATCATGTTAACCTTTGTGTTCTATTTATAACAACCTTTCTTCATTTCGACAAAGGTTGCCAGACCATTGTTTGAATCTCTAATACTTGCAACATTAGAAACTGCTATTCAGACAAAGATCATGTCTCGGTTTGAAGTAGGCAACAACGGCGTCTCGATTCCGACAGCAGTCGACAACAAAGCTCTCGCAGATTTTGAACCTCCAAAGAAACCTAAAAGAAACAAGTTCGCTTTTGTTTGTGCCATCCTCGCTTCCTTGGCTTCTATCTTGCTTGGATACGGTGAGTTATTTTGCCGCCATTAATGTCTGATCTTAAAGCTTTATCATCCGTGTTTGAAAAAAATGAATATTTTTTTGGAGTAGATATTGGAGTGATGAGTGGGGCTATAATTTTCATAAAAGACGACCTGAAAATAAGCGACGTTCAAGTTGAAATCCTCGTCGGAATCCTCAACTTGTATTGCCTCCTCGGAGCGTACGCCGCCGGTCGGACCTCGGACTGGATTGGCCGCCGCTATACCATCGTCGTGGCCGCCGCAATCTTCTTCGCCGGAGCTTTCCTGATGGGGTTCGCCACTAACTACGCTTTCCTCATGGTTGGTCGCTTCGTTGCCGGGATCGGCGTCGGCTATGCCATGATGATTGCTCCTGTTTACACCGCCGAGCTCTCCCCCGCCTCCTCGCGTGGCTTCCTCACTTCATTCCCCGAGGTCTCGAATCCTTGAAATGTACTTTTTTTAAATCATAAGAAAGTGAAATCTAATGTATTTTTCATTGTTTATTTGTGAAGGTTTTCATTAATATTGGCTTATTGCTGGGATATATTTCGAACTATGCATTTTCGAAGCTCCGACCCGATTTAGGGTGGAGGGTAATGCTCGGCGCCGGCGCGGTCCCATCGTTTTTCTTGGCTATCGGGGGGTTGACAATGCCGGAGTCGCCTCGTTGGCTTATTATGCAAGGTCGACTCGGTGAAGCCAAGAGAGTTCTCGACAGAACTTCAGACACTAAAGAAGAAGCTCAGCTTCGACTCAGCGATATCAAAGAAGCCGCCGGAATCCCACAAGATTGCACCGACGACGTCGTTCAGGTTCAAAAGCAATCCCACGGCGAAGGTGTGTGGAGGGAATTATTTCTGCACCCCACCCCGGCGGTTAGACACGTCATGATTTGTGCCATCGGCATCCATTTCTTCCAACAAGCAATCGGCTTAGACTCCGTCGTTCTGTACAGTCCGAGGATTTTTGAAAAAGCCGGGATCACGTCTTCAAACCATAAGCTACTCGCTACCATCGCCGTCGGATTTTGCAAGATGATCTTCATCTTAGTGGCCACGTTTTTACTAGACAGAATTGGACGGCGTCCTTTGCTATTAAGCAGTATCGCCGGCGTTGCCGTTTCATTGGCTACACTCGGACTTTCATTAACCATCATCAATCATTCCAACCATAGAGTACCTTGGGCCATCGGATTATGCATCGCCATGGTTTTAACCGCCGTGTCAGTTTTCTCGATAGGGATGGGACCCATTGCTTGGGTGTACAGCACGGAGATCTTCCCGTTGAGGCTTCGCGCTCAGGGAGCGAGTATAGGAGTTGGAATCAACCGGGCAATCAGCGGTGTAATCTCGATGTCTTTTATTTCGTTGTACAAAGCGATCACCATCGGCGGAGCCTTTTTCTTGTACGCCGGGATTGCGACAGTGGCGTTTTTCTTTTTCTTCGCTTGCTTTCCGGAGACTCAAGGGAAAACGCTGGAGGAGACGGAAGCGCTTTTCGGTAAATTGATAGGTTGGAGGGAAGAAGCTAAAAAGATAAGGAGGAAGAGGAAGATGGAAGAAGACAACAGTGATCGAAGTAATAAGCTGTGCCAACTTGAGTTAGGAAATGACATAACTACCGATAGCAAATGTTAGATATGTAAAAAATGGTGATAAAAGTAGAATATACTTTACAACATAGTGTTAATGTTTTTGTATTTTATCTTCTTTTTCCTTGTTCAAAAATTAGTTTCAATGGTGAAAATATTCAATATAATCGAAATAAATTAGAATTTATATAATTTCTAAATTAACAATGAGTAAATCACATTCATGTACGGATATTTTGTATCTCCTAAATTAATTTACTCTTTTCGTATCGAAAGTATATTATTCACGTTTATATATAATTATTGATATTTGATTTTATTGATAGACTAATCTAGATCGGATATTGCAGCGGCGCTGGCGACTCTCCCAACCCAGTTTGCTCCACTCGTAAATATCGGGATTCGAACCATTAACACTACTTAAAGAATTCAGTGTCTCGTCTCACTAGATCAACTGGTCGTTGATTATTCATGTTTATATTTATTAAATAGTACTAATCTTTAAAAAAATCAATCATATAATTTAAAATTTAAAATATAATACATAATTTGAAATTATAATTTCTAAATTTAAATTACTTTATTTAAAGATATAACTTAAAAGTAAAAAAAAATACTAAAGAAATACAACTAAATTTAAAATATTAAGATAAAAGAAATAATTAAAAAATTAAAATGTTTGATGAAATAATTTAAAAAAAATAGCTAATTAATTTTATTTGAATTAACGGGTTGAATATTTAATAGATCAAGTATTTCAGGTCACGTAGTTTTGAATATTCCTACATTCACGCGAAATTCATTCTAAAATAATTTCGAACAAAACGTGAAAGATTTATTACGCGAATTACTAATATAAAAGATATACCAAAAAAAAAATACAGTAAACCCTAAATACAATTTACGTACAAAATCTCATCTAAATCTAAAAACCCTAAATATACATTACATGTATAGAGATATTAAAACCTTAGAAAATATGTACGATATTTTTAGTTGAACTAAATATAATCATACATCAATCTCTAACAGCTATAAGTTTAAAGAAATAAATACATTATCAAAACTTCAACTAATTTTTAATATTAACGTATAATAATTTTATCACTCCAATTATAATATATAATATTTTCTTAATCTCGCATTTGATAATATATATAAATATTGGATGGTTGTGCATTGTATTTTGGGAAATATCGTTGGAGGAAGCACCAATAATTGGGGGGGGGGGATAAAAGTAGAGGAGGTAAATTGCTGCTCTGCTTACCATTTTCTATGGATGGTCTTTAGCACATGCGGGTGAATTGAAATGTCGTGGAAAAATTAAAATTTTGTTAATGTTTCTTGAGTTAAATTGTATAATTTAATACTATTTTAAACAATATTTTAGATTTAAATTTAATGGATGAAAATTTAATATTAAGAGAAATTTTATCATCTCTTACTCCTTAATTTTATTTTAAATATAACAAAAGTTCGTATAATTATCGAATATTAAAGGATTCTAAATTTAGAAAAGATTATAATTAAGCAATATAAATTTGACAGTTGTTAGGATAAAGAGACAAGAGATGTTAGATCATGCATGAGATCATATTGCAAGGAAGATGGGGCAATCAATCCAATTGAGGTAGCATGTGATGTTTTGTCTCTTACTCTATTTTGAAACAGAACAGCACTGTGTGTGGCTATGGTTTTTCTGAATGAAATGACCATGGCTTCTTTTGTTTATTACACATAATAACGACAATGAGTCTTCTTCTTTGACTTGGGAGAGTGTTACATATAATAACGACAACAATGTCCAAATTTCCTTTGCCGTTCGTTTTGTAATTGATTCAAATTGTAGTTGTGATCATTTTGCTCTTTTTATCTAACGAAATTGCAAACTTTGAGAGAATCTTTGTTTGCAGATGTTACGTTGGTTTCGGGTCCAAATTTTATATCATCATCGATTGTCATATCTAAAATGATAGAATACTTTTTTTCGTATTTTAAAATGATGTTTCGGTTTAGTTGGGTCACAAATATCCATTTATATATAAAATCAAATAAAATTGGAATTATAAATCTAATAAATATGACACGTGTAATAAACATTTTGCAACTGTGAACTTTCACGGCCAAATTTGAGACTTTCCTTACCTTATTAAAATTTGTGATATTTATTTAATTACAAAATATGGCGGTAACTTGAAATATTAGGTATTTACTAATGTAATGTGACCGTTAGTAGTTCCATTACTGTTAATTTCCTTCATCTTCCTAGCTGCCTCCCTCCAACCTACCAGTTTACCGAAAAGCTTTTCGGTTTCCTCCAACGTTTTTCCTCTTGTCTCCGGCATACACGCGTAGAAAAACACCCATCCAACCGAGGCGATGCCGGCGAACAAGAAGAAAGCACCACCGATGGTGATCGCATTGTATAACGAAATAAAAGTCATCGATACGACCCCGCTTGTCACCCTATTCACCGCCGCTCCCATGCTCATCCCCTGCGCACGTAGCCTCAATGGGAAGATCTCCGACATGTAAACTCCGGTGATGGGACCCATTCCGATGGCGAAAAATGCCACGTAAGCTAAGACCGTAGTTATGCACAAAGCGATGGCCCATGTTAGTTTCGCTTCCGAATCGTTGATGATTGTTAGGGAAAACCCGAGCGTCGCTAGCGACGCCACCATGCCTCCGATGCTGAACAGGAGCAAAGGCCGACGTCCGACTTTGTCGAGCAAAAACGTGGCTACGAAGATGAAGATTGTCTTGCAAAATCCAACGGCTACCGTCGCCAGTAACTTGTCGTTCGATGATGTGATCCCAGCTTTGTCGAAAATCCTTGGACTGTACAAAACGACGGCGTCGATTCCGGAGGCTTGTTGGAAGAAGTGAATCCCGACGGCGCAAATCAAGACGTGTTTAACGGCTGGTGTGGGATGTAAAAGAAATTCTCTCCACACCCCTTTTCCATTGGTTTTCTTCGGGACGACCTCGTCGCCGCCGCAATCTTGTGGGATTCCGGCAGCTTCTTTGATATCGTTTAGTCGAAGCTGAGCTTCCTCTTTCGTGTCCAGGGTTTTCTCAAGGACGATCTTGGCTTCACCGAGTCGCCCTTGCATGACCAACCAACGCGGCGACTCCGGCATCGCTAAGACTGCAAAAACCAAGAAAACGGGTGGGATGGCTCCGATGCCAAGCATCAATCGCCACCCGATGCTTAAAGGCAGCTTCGAAAAGGCATAGTTTGAAACATATCCCAATAGTATCCCGACATTGATACACACCTACATGTATATATAAAAAATCTTAGTTATAATCTTTAATTATAATATCCTATATTTTAATGAATGTATAAGTCGAAATAATTATAAATATATAATTTATTAATTAAATTACCTCAGGAAAAGAGGTGAGAAAACCTCGAGAGGAAGCAGGGGAGATTTCAGCATTATAAAGAAGAGCACTCATAATGGCAAAGCCGACGCCAATACCAGCGACGAAACGTCCGACCATAAGGAATGCGTAGTTGACAGAGAAGCCCATGAAGAGGGATCCCACAAAGATAATGACATTAGCCAACACCATGGTATATCGACGACCAATCCAGTCCGCAATTTTTCCGGCAACGATACAACCAACTAGGCAGTACAAGTTGAGTACACCAACCACGATTTCGATCTGAACGTCGCTGATTCTTAAATCCTCTTTTATGAACATTATAGCTCCACTCATCACTCCTAAATCTATTTTCATACAAAGAAACATATACATATTTAGGCTAAAATAAAACGTTACCAAGCTCAAGAATGAAACTCTTTTCTTACCATAACCGAGTAGCATGGAAGTTAAGGAAGCAAGCATAGCACAAGCAAAGGCGAACTTGTTCTTCTTGGGTTTCATCGAGACCTCGAAAGCTGACGGAGTTTCCGGTTCAGGTCCGAAACCAGCCATACTTGTGGGTTTTTTTTTTTGGTTTCTGCTGCAACAATGGAATCTCTCAAGGTTTAAGAATCTTTCCGAGTTTGGTTTAAATAAGCAAAGGTTTACATCAATTGTGGGACAATTTGACATCAGCCTCGAGCATTGAAGAATCACGCGTGAGCTATTACAACTATCGTTATCCTGTGCTCGGAGGGGTAAAACTTTTACGCCTCTCGATATGATTGAACATCTTTTAGACAAAAAAATGCAATAATGTTTTAATATTATAAATAAAAATTTCAATAATGTATTTATTTATATGAACACATAATTGTGGCATATCGATTTCACTCATCCACGTTAAGAAACAGATATTTTTACTTGATTTGGGCCCATCGAATAGAGAAAAGCCCAATACTAGATATTTTATTACCATATTATACAGCCTCTTCACTTATGCATTTGAAGTAAAAGGCTTTGTTTTCTCTCCCACGTTTAAGCTCAAAACATTTTTCTCAATCAAACAGCAATCTGATTCGCGGCTGATGTCCTAAGAATTAAAATATACGAGTGTCCTAAAAGACGACATAGATGTTATCCAATCAAAATGTTAAAATAAGAATGAAAACATCTCACTATTCTCACTCACTTTTCCCAACAACTACTCTCCTCTTTATTTGTTTGAACAAACATGTATAAGGTCAACAAGTACAAACATAATAGATAACAAGGCGGGGTGAGGAAGTTTCCTGTTTCTAACCATTTACTTCTTCACGTTAAAGCTCTGTTCACGTGGACTTTAAACTTTAAATCTAAGAATTGAAGGACTAAATTTAAATTTAGTAGAATAATCCTCGCGCTAACATTATATTAGGATATATGGTTGGTGTAAAATTGTTTAAGAATCTATGACGTTTATTACAATGAATTTAGAATACGTTACGTGAGCATAGTAGTTAATTGTTTCCATATTTTCAAGGTTTTAGGATATATGGTTGGTGTAGCTAATTGTTGTTGTGGAGGGTTGTAATGTGTGAAATTGCAGTAGCTTATTATCGTGAATTTCTTATATATTTTGACATTGGCAAGATGTAGTATTTTTCCTCTATTTAAGTGTAGAAATATTTTTTAACGATGCTTTTGATGTTGTCGTTTTGTATGTGTTTTTATAGTATCGTACAAAACACCCTTTAATTTTTTTTATAAAACATATTTTTATTGAAATTCGTCGTCATGTGTATATAACGAGTTTCATAAAATAAATTTTTTTATCTCTTTCAATGTTAGGGAGCTTATTTCTAGTCAATGGCGGATCAATGTAAAATATATTAGAAGTCACAAAATTACGTAAAAATTATATTTTTGAGCAGCGACCTTTTAAATATTATAAAACAATCATGAAATCTTTTAAAAGATTATAAAATGGTCCTTATAATGTTAAGATAATAATAAATTGTAATAGGTTCAAATATTATTTTATAATAATTTGATAAATTTAAAATAAATTTTAAAATTTTAATAATATTTTATAATATTTGGTTCGTTTTTCGAAAGGTTTATGGTAGAGAATTTGGGCCATTTTTGTTTAACCCAAAATTTCATTTAAGGCTATCAACCCAAAGATCAAGAAGACCTTCGAAATCAAATATGCTACGACGTCGTCGGCGCTGTAAACCACGTTTTCACTGAGATCAGGCAATTCACAGTTCCTTTGTCGTGATTTTTAGTTAATCTTCGAGCTTCTAGCGCAGTTCTCAATTCACACTCAAAATCAATCACTCTTCGAGGAAGAAGAAGAAAACCCTGAGAAATGGAAAAGCTGAAGAAGAAAATAAGATCGTTTTCTTTTTGGAATTGGGTGATAGCTTCAATCATCTTCAGATTGATTCTAATCTACTTCCCCAATAATCTCAATCTGTCCTCTCGCCCCGAAGTTTCCACTCCTCTCACCAGCTTCCGCCGCTGTAATTTCCTTTCCTTTAGTATAAAATCAATTTTCATATTCCTTTTAATTTTTTTTAGCTTAATTTCTCATTTTCGTTTTTTTTTTATTTTTTGGGGTTCAGTGTCTGAAGGTTACTGGTTAAAGCAGTTGTCTATGTCTCCTTATGCAGGTGTTTTTTCCCCTCTTTTTTATATGCCGGACATTTTCAATTTTTTTTAAATTCGTGTCAAATCGATAAAAGCAAGTACTGTACTTGATTTCTTTCTGGGATTTATGTTTTCTTTTTCAGGATCTATGTACCATGGTTCACCTTTGTTATTGTCACTTCTCGGACCTCTTACCGTTAAGAGGTGCCCTTCAGCTCATTGTTAGACTTTGATCTACAATTTTTTTCTTTTTAATTTAAAGTTCTTAATGATATAATAATTTGTTTTTTTGTTGGTTCAGAATTGAGGGACAGCCTAACCATCTTTTGTACAGGTACAATCTTTTCTTTTGTTTAGATTTTAGTGATAATTTTGATGTGTTTTAACTTTAAAGTTCTATTTAAGGCAAAATGTTGAATAGATTCTTTTGTGGACTTAAGAGAATGGCATTGTATTTTCTTTAAAAAATTGTGTATTTGTTTGCTCATGCAGTTAATGCCTACACATTTTTGGATACAGCTTGGTTTCTGTGATTGCAGATGTTGTTAGTGCAATGCTTATACGTGCTACTGGGCAGAATCTTCAGGTTGCCTATTTCGGTACTTTGAAATCATTTGACCTTGTTAAACAAATAGAAGGATCAGGTAAATTCTTTATTATGCACTTTTAGTAAGAGGGAAAATAACAGACGTCTCTATGCATTTTTCATGTAACCATAGTTAAATGCATGTCTAATTCCTCTCTTTTTCAGTTTTTCTTGTCCGAAGCTGACGAACTTGTTTTTTTTTTTGACCCAGAGGTGCACTCTCCGGGGGATGTTGCTGCTCTTATCTACCTATGTAATCCTTTCACAATAGTTGCATGTATGGGGTTATCAACATCGCCAATTGAAAATATGGCCGTTATTTTGTGCCTTTATGGAGCATGTTCACGTAAGAGACTTTTAAAAGCTGCAATATCCCTCCTGATAGAATAGTGTTCAAAGAAAATGTATATCTCAAACAAGGCCAACATTTCGTTTTTTCGATAGGATTTGTAGCTATTTGTCGAGGAAGTGTTTATACGTTTGCTGCTACATTTTAATGTTGCTATGAAATTTTTACATATTGTTTCTTTTGGATCATCATTTGGTAAAAAAATTTCTATGGATTTGTCTGTTGGGATCAGCAGCAATCAACATATATATAGATTTGGTGTGTATTTTGTACCTTTCTTGCATAATTTGCCACTCAATAATAATCTTTCTAGTTTCTGGATTGCTGGACTAATTCCCTTGGCCGCTTTTGGGTGGGTGATTGCAACTCATATGTCTCTTTATCCTGCTATTTTGATCATTCCGGTACACCTCTCTTTTGTTTTTTGCTATCGGTATCCTTAGTTTAAAAAAGCACCGCTTAAGCGCGATTAAAGTGCTAAGCGACTCGAGTGAGGCCCCTGGCGCTTCAGTATAGCAAAAGCACTATGAATTCATTAAGCGGTAGTAATCGGCGCTTTTGCAGCGCTTTTAGCAAAGCGCTTATCGGCGCTTAATCGCGAGTTTAGAATATACGATTCTGGGCTTTAGCAGATACGATTTTTGGGCTTATTTAGGGTTTAGCGGGCTATTAGATTATCAGTTTTGGTTTTTTTTTCTAGCTTCACACTAAGAAACGAAACAGATTGGCACAATATAGATTGAATGACATGGTGTTTGTGAAATTCAATCATGCCTTGGAGCTCCGATCTAAAAGTAAGGAGACCGATCCCATTCTTTTGCAAGGTATTGATGAGAGCAATGAGTGGTTGATGGGAAGAATGGAAGATGATGAAGATGATGATGAGGCGGTGTTTGTTGGTGAGGATTTGACATAGAGTGATGTTGCTAACGCTTCCGGTGCATATGAGCCTAGTTATCTAACTAGAGCATCAAAAGTAGTGAATGATGGAGCCGGACCATCGAGAAATGATAAAGGAAAATCTCTTGCTCATAATCCTATCTCTAGTAGACCATCTCGTAGATATGCTTAGTTGATGAAGATGAGATGGAAGAAGATATTGGAGTGTCTAGTGATGAAGGAGATGGTGTTGTCCGAGTTGATGACGATGATGATTATGAGGATTTTTAGTTATAAGGAATTGAGGGTTTAGAAAAATACTTTTGTTCATCTCACTTTAGACTACTTTTGGTGTAGACCATCTTTTGAGATTAATATGCTCGTATAGTCGTATGGTTAATCGTATATAAGTATTTAAGTGTTTATAACTTATAAGTAAATTGAGAATTATATTTTGGTGTTTAAGTACTTATAAGTTTTGAATATATGTATTGACACTTTGATATTTAAGTAGTTATAAGATAATTTATAAATATTTTGTATTTTTTTTGTGAATTTTGGCCTTTCTGGCGCTTCGTGTGCATAAAGCGAGCGCTTTCGCTTAGCGCTTAGCGCTTCGGCGTCTAGGACCCTAGGCGTTTTAGGGCGCTTTACGCTTTTTAAAACCAAGTCGGTATCCATAGAATTGCTTAAATGCACAAGATAGTTTTCAAATTCCATTGATCAGTTTCCTCAACATAAGTCAATCTCCAAGAAGTATATTCACTGTGCCGTTTTCTCACAGGTGATCTTTTTATTAGGACGTGGTCCAGATGCTCCTCCAAGGAAATTGTTTCTGCAAATGCACCAAGAAAAAGGAGTGTTGAATCAATCGAAGCTCCCTCCTTGCTTCTCATGGGGACCAATTATTCATTTTGCATTTTGGGCTCTTTTGTGGTCAGTCTATGTGTTGGTTCTTTGTGGCATTTCCTTGAAACAGTTTGGTGGTTTATGGGAGATGTTTAAAAGGTACCAATCAAATGCCATACGTTTCTCTTTCTTATTGTATGGAGCTAGGGTAAAATTTGACGATTAACGCAGTTTGCTCCAAGTTTTATTTTTCAATATTGTAAACCTCCTAGGAATAGTTGACTCTTTATTTGGTAGGCTTATGACTTGTATTTACTTTATATGAAATAGTG